GATGTACGAGGTTAATGATTCCTCGTTGAGCGACTCCCGCGTGCCCAACACCTCCATCAGACGCTTCATCAGGTTGTAGCCGCTCGGGAGCCCGTTGATGACATGCGTGATGTACGACGCCGTCGAATATTTAACGCCGGCCATCTGCATGCACGCAAGAAGGCATCGAGCTCGGTTGCCGTCTCCTGCTCACCCATCCGCATGTGCATTATCTGCTCCTCCAGCTGGCCAAGGTACAGGTCGTCGGTGACCTGGTACGTCGACGTGATGAACTGCCACGCCCGATGGCCGGCGTCCAAGTGACTCCGACACGACTTCAGGGCGATCTGCACCACCGGCAAGCAGCACCGCGAGATGACGGTGAAGGTCAGCAGGTGCACGGCGCGAAACTCCGCACACAGCTCGGGGTTGCACTCCAGCGGCATCTCCATGGAGCCGTTCGCGAAGCACATCAACCCAGCCATCTCCAACTGGGGCTTGATGGCCTCCTTCCACGTGAGGAGGTCGTGACGGTCGACCAGCAAGGGGTTGACGACGATCTTGTCCGGCGTGAACTCGAAGAAGCCATAGGTCGGCGCGATCCCACCCCCCGTCACGTAGGTCGTCGACGCCGGCGTCACACCACTTCGACGTCCACCGGCGTCGCCTTACGAGGAGCCCGCAGCCGCCGATAACTGCTGCCCTTGCACCTGAACACCGCCGACTTCACCGTCGGCCGTCCAGAACACCCCTCGCTGCTTCGAGATACCTCCCGCACTGCTGCCGACTTGGTCACCGGCGTTGACGCCCACGTCAACGCTGCCTTTGTTGTTCACCGGTCGATGAGAAGCAGGTCGAGATGGGTGTTCCGTCGCCCACACTGCGCGGATGCCTAGCTGAAGGACATCCAAGGGGAGGGTCTGCCCGTACTCGCCACCCTCATGGCGTCTCCTTGCATTTGCCAACCGCGTCTGCAGGGTATCCACTACGCCCGCGTCACCTACGGCGCCAACCATGGTGACTAACACGGCTACCGGCCTACGAAAAAGATAGGTAGCGTGCAAAAGTCGACTAGACTGAAGGTAAGTCGCGTGCCGTCCACGCTCACCGCACCATGTGGAGATAGTAGCAACGGGAGCTAGTCTACGGGGTAGGCATGGGGTAGGAGTAATCGTAGCGTTTGTTGCTTGGTCGTATTCACAGGGGAAATGTGCAAGAGTTCTTTTCTAGTAAAAGTTCACAACATTAGTTTCCAATAGCAAAGCAACATTGACTACATCAGATGCTAGCACGCAAGCTAGTCGTCTGCCAGCGCAGCATGGTCGACTGCATTCCAGCATGACAAGGTCGACCGCGCTCCAGCAGTGCAATGTCGCGGCCTATCAACGCTGCAAGTCGACGGCGTGCCAATGCTGCAGGAAGACGGCTGCACAGCGTTGCACTTGCAGGACAGCAGAGCATCCGCTTCGCAGGTGCTTGGAGCTGGTTGGCGTGCCATGCCTCGTCACGTGCACAGCGCAGACACCAAGCCGACCACGTGCCCACTTCTGCATCTGATCCTCCACGTCGACCTCGGGATACCACACCGAGGTCGGCTTCACCGGATCCACCTGGGCGACTGTCGCGCACCTCCACAGATCCCCATCACCCAGGTAACTTGGTCGACCGGGCAACCACCAAGCCGTCGTCAACTTGTGTGGTTGGCGTCGATCAGCTGTTGTACGTGCTCGTCGACCACCCAGGTCGACGACCACCAGCCGACTTCACGAAGTCGGCACCCCTCAGGTCGACGCCCTGAAGTCGGCGTCCTCCCAGGTCAACCTCACCAGATCGACCACCCGTACTCAGCGTCCTCCAGAGTCGGCGCCACCTCCAGGTCGATGTCGGCGCCCTCCAAGGTCGGCACCCTCCAAGGTCGTCGCCCTTCCCCTCGTCAACCACCGGGTCGAAGTCGGCCGCCGGCATCCCAAAGTCGGCGGCATCGCAGTGACCATGTGTAGGTCGGCCAAATCTGTCGACCTGCGTGATTATGTCGGCGTCGCCCACTGCAACTGGTTGGATGTGCTCCCCGCACACCCGACAACGAAATCGGCTCCGCCCAAGCGAGGACGGGGCCAACACACATCTCCCGTTGCCATCTTTGGCAACTCAGAGCGGTAGCAACCACTTCTTCTCGAGGTGCTCTGTAAAAGGATGGCGCCTCCAGATGATTGTGGACAGTGGAGCGTCTCACTCGTGTGTGTCCGTAGGACATTAGAGAAAATTGGAGAGTCAAACAAGGAGACCCAATTTGCAGCAAGCATGGTGAACGGCAGCACGCTACCCATCCACGGCGATACGGTGGAGACCAATGTCAAACACTATATGTGTTGTTGTTGTGTAGGCTATAGTGGGTTAGCCTTTAGGGGGTACACAAAACTAGGGTTTGCTACTTGTACTCCAACTTTTCATAGTTCACACACTTCTTGTTTCTAACATGGTATTAAGAGCTATAGGTTCTAGACCTAAGGGCCCACCGTTCCGCTAGTGGTGCCCTCGTGCGCCCTCTTTTTTTTAGCGCCCTCGTGCGCCTCTCCTCTCATGCGCCCTCGTGCGCTCTCCTCTCACGCTGCCCGTGTGCAGCCCGCTAGCAGCCCGAGCGCGGCCCCGCCGTTTTAGCGCGCGTAGGAAAACCGCCGCCTAGGGCGGCTCGATTTTTTCTCGCGAGCCCCAGCAGGCCGCCGCCCGTAGGCCCCGCTAGCCCCTAGGCCGACGCGCGACCCACAGCCGCCCGCCCGTAGGCCCCGTGGCGATCGCGCGCCGGCTGCTGCAGCCCGCGCTAGAACGCAGCCGCGGCCCGCGCGCTTAGCCGCCGCTAGACGCAGCCGCGGCGCGCGCGCAGCCGCACCCTAGGCGCCGCCGCGCACCGAGCATAGGCCCGGCGTCGCGCCGCCCTACCCACCCGAGCCGCGCCGCCCGAGTCGCGCCGCCCGAGTCGCGCCGCCCGAGTCGCGCCGCCCGAGCCGCGCCGCCCTGACCGAGTCGCGCCGCCCTACCTGCTCCTACTGCTACTACTGCTGCTTCTGCTACTGCTGTTGCTACTACTACTGCTGCTACTGCTACTACTGCTACCTGCTACTGCCACTATGGCCAGTCCCATTGTTCTCACCTTTGACGCCGAGGGCCGCCCGATTAAGTTCGATGTCTGGCTTGATGACCTGCACCTGTACCTCCAGATCACTGCCAAGGACGATGTTTCCCTCTATGACCACACGTCCGGCGCTGCTCCCGCACCTCCCGCTACTGCTGACAGCACTGCTCGCTCCCAGTGGCAGACCCGTGATGCTCACGCTCGCCTAGCCGTTCGCAGTCACGTACCGTTAGATGAGCGCGAGCACTTCGGACAGCATAAGACCGCCAAGGAGCTGTACGACGCAGTAGTCGCGCGCTACTCCTCCCCTGCCACTGCTGCTATAGGCCGTCTCTCACTGCCCTACCTCTTCCCCGACCTGTCCGCCTTTGCCACTGTAGCTGACCTCATCACCCACCTCCGTACCAGTGACCTCCGCTACCGTGCCGCGCCCCCCCCCCCGATTTCCTCGCCAAGAACCCCCCCCCCCGATGTACCTCACACTGTACCACCTTGTCACCCGCCTCCCTGACTCCCTTCGCACTGTCAGGGACCAGTTTCTCGCCCTCTCCCCCACTGATCTCACTGTCGACCTCCTCGAGAAGGAGCTCCTAGCAGCTGAGAAGAGCATTGTAGCTGTAGGTGCCTCTCGTGGTGACCCCCGCACCCCCTTCTTTGAGGGGTGCTCCCCCTCCCCCCTCCTCCCCTCCATTGCATCTGCTGCTGCTGTCGACTACCTCGGAGCTGAGGGGGTCGGGGCTGCGTCTGCTCCTAGTGGGAGACGCAAGGGCGGCAGGGGCAAGGGGGGCAGGGGTGGTGGACACACGGATCGTTGCTTGACGACTGACCACCACCGTTTCCCTCCTCGTCGTCATCATCTTCGCCTTCCATTAACTCGTCTATCAGGCGTTCCTTCACGGCCTCTGTGTCCTCCTCCCCTTGTGGTGCGCTGGCGACAATGGGCGTGCAGGCTGCCTCCGCGTCGACGGCCCCGACAGCCTTGGCGCTGCATATCTGCAGCGGCACTTCTCGAGTCTCTGTGACCAGGTGCGTGGTAGGTAGAAGGGTGTTAATTTTGCGTGCGCATACGGCATATCTCACCACAGTCATGCATTAGCACTGGTACATGAAATGCAACGTACTTGTCACGTCACAAATGTTACCTTCGTCATGCCCCGCGTTCTTATCCTCCGCGCCACATTTTTCTGTGCCTGTTTTACGCCTCTTGGGTTCCGGTAGGCGTCGTCCTTTCTTCTTCCGCTCCCCGTATTCATATGAATCAGCTAACCATGACGGCGCAGTCTTCGCCCGCTTGGAACGACCGCCGTCGGTGGGAGTCATATCGACCTCTAGCGGAGACAGCATCTCAGACCGCATACACAGCGGGGTCGAAATGGCGTAGCTCTAAACCACCCCGGGGTTCTACCCTCGCTCGCAACAGTCCCCTTACCACTCTCGTGGATATCGCAATGCTCGATACCGGAGTTTCTCACCGCACTAGTTGCCTCACGCTCTTGGCCACGCGCACAATTCTACACATGTCACGGTTAGAGTGGCCAGTTTGATTACAGACAAATGTCAGCCACACTTTCCACATGTAAAATGTCGCCGTGCCACGATTGTCACATCGTCGATGCTCGTCCTCGTTTCTGTCAGATGCGATACTCCACTTATACACCCCCTTATTTCAGCATTTGCTACTAGCCCCAACTGTGGTTACAGTTTCTACATGTGCAAAGTTTAAGTGTTATTTGTCGTATATTTACATCTCCTCGATATAGACAGTTTAATACCGTGATACATGCGATGCTTACATTTCCAGATCCACCTACCCGCCACCAGCTCTAAGTCCTATCAGTATGAGCACAGAACTAGAACATCCCGTGGTCCAATGGCCACCATGTTCATGGCTTCAGGCAACACCCTCTGCACGGTTGACCTCCTCCCAGTCATCTTCTTCGTCGAAATCATCGTTTCCCGGTTCATACACAGCATCATCGTCAACGGACTCATCGTCATCCGTGTAGTCCTCTGGTGGGTCCTCTGGCTCTTCAGCCATAGGCTGGTCCTCTGTAGTCTGCGTGGTCGCCTCCACCTCCTCAACGTCACTAATGGCCCGGGACACTCTGCCCTTTCGCCGCGAACGGGTCTCGACCGGCTGCGCATCGTCCAGGCCAGCCATTGCGGCTCTCCACTCCCTCCATCTGTTCCAGCGCCTGTACTTCACGAGTAGCCTTAGGATCTCCTCGGTGCAGCCGGCTAAAGCCTGCCTGTCACCGTCGGACAGCTCCACCGTGCAGCTGATGCGTGAGTTCGGGCAAAGTACAACGGCTCCCGCAGCATACGCGTATGACGCCTCGTCCTTGTCCTCGTACGACCCCAGACGAACCTGCTGACGGCGAGCAGATATGATCCGGACGTAGTACCTCTGCTTCGCTGCGTTCCACATAACTCCCGTTCGGCCGCTGCTTGCGACCCTTCCGGGGTTACCTGGAGCTGCGGGCACGGGAGTCTTAGCGCGGCTGCGCAAAGCCACTGCAAGATGGTCGCGCTGTTGTTGCCTGACCACAGCAGGTGTCGCGTCGCCGGCAGTAACTTGGCTATCTTTCACGGCAGATGTGTGAGGTGCAGGACAGGGAGAGATTGATGGCACTGCCGCCAGTGCACGCGTCGGAGGAGTCTGCGCGACCTCCTTCTGGCCACTTCCGTCCGCGGTAGGTTCTGCTTTGGCGTGCTTGCGTGGAGTCGCCGTCGGCACCAGCGTGTCGACCACGGCACCCAGGTGTTGGCGCGCCCCTGCGTCCAGCTCGTCCGACGTCACGCCTTTGCGGATGGCCAGATACTCGATCTTGGCCGTCAGAACCTGTATGTCGTGCTCAATCACAGCGAACTTCTCCTTGTGGTCTAGCAGCTCTCTTCGGATGTCCACAGGAGGGTCGACGCATATGTATCCGTTGTCGTCGATAACGGGAACAGGCTGCAGAGGTATGCGGAGACCCTGGCGTTGCAGCTCGGGAATCAGCGTTCCCTCGGCATGAGAACAAAGATCCCCACGCATCTTGTGGCGGTACCTCTCAGCGCTCACGCCCTTGAACGATATGTACTCTCTCACGGTTATGAACCCAGATGTCATCAGAGCTTCGAGATACTGGCACATGTACACTCCGCAGTCCCAGCTGTTAGGTTGTTTGGGGATCTGGTGACCCTGCGCACCATCGAGACACGATGTTTCCGTTCATCAGAACGCGCTCCCGTATTAGCAAGCAAGTGGGATAGAATGAGCCATACTGTCTTTGCAGCATCTCACCTCCATGATTATCGTTTCGGCCTTGATGAGCGCTTGCCTAGACGCCTCCTGGTCCACCCCCGGATGATCGCGTTTGCACATGAGGTGCAATAACCTGCACGACGATATAGCCAACAGGTCAGATGAGGTCGCAGGACGTCACCGCTGAAAGGGGGTTGCACGGTGGTATATAGCGACTCTCACGCTTTAGTCCCGTCAAAGGCATCAGTAGTCTTGGCGTGGAGGCCGTCACTGTCGAATAGAATGAACTCCACAGGTGCGGCCGTCTGGCTTACAATCCCGCTCGGGTTTGTTACCACCATCAAAGAATAGTGTTCCCTGCACAATTGAGAGGTCTTTGTTAGGCTGGGGCGACAGACGGGCTTATAACAGCGGCGGGCAAAAGACGTACTTACCCGGCAAATACCGGGACGGCGATGTAATCGTACTCGAACACAGACGGGCCCGTGCACCTCCCAATCGGCTTCCCGTGAATCTTGGCATACGCATACGCCTTGCTGTCAAGGACCACCCATGATTTCCCGTTCGGACACCTTGGGTACCTGATGTTCAGGAGGCTGCACGGGTGCGAAGGGACCACGCACGATGAAAGTTTAAACGTTAAAGTCGGCATACCGTAGGGTGGCGACAAAGCAACCTGTAGGAGTATCGCCATCCAAAAACGTACATGTTATGGAAATCGACGACCGCGTCCCCCAGATATTTCTTGTCGGCGAGCGTCAAGGCGTCGTGCGCATTCACTTGACAGCCCACACCCATGTGGTTATACAGAGACACCGTCTTAAAAGTCGTTGAAGATGGTGCGTTCAGTAGAGCAGTCAGCGCGTCATTCGGCGCGGGCTCATCTTTGACGCATGGCAGCCGCGAGCCCCATGCGGAAACCGACGCGGCCACTGCGGCTTCCGTATTCGTATCCCCCTGCTGGAGTTCACGCGAGCGCAGCCGCTTGTTGCTCAGCGATTCCGGGATCGTGGTGTTCCGCCGCGCCGCTGCCGGTGGCCTACGCGATGTCATGGCTTGTGGACTGTGGAGGCCGCGTTTAGAGGCCTGGGCTTTGGTTCGCGGTACCATGGCTACTACGAGTTCGTGAGAGAGGCCGAAACCCTAGTGTGGCAAGAACTTAACTGTCGGGCTGTAGTGCGATTGAAGCGTTTATACACTCCACCAGGCACCTTCGGGTACAAATATCGGATTTGCTCAGACGACGGAGACCCAGGGTCAGAGCGCGATTCTAGAATGTGGATACCACCATGGCGGTTCGTGATTGGCAGCGGGTTCCAGCCATATTTGACACTTGTCACAGTGCAATTGAGCTGAGATTACTGTACCCTCGTCAGCATGCACAGCCGAGACTATGCGGAACCTTTATACACTCAATTGTGCAGCCCTTATCGGGACGACATATGTCCCGTTATGAACATAACCAAATGCGATTAACAGCGATGTAACATTTCGGCCACTCACCTAGACGCGGATGGATTTATTTCGACTTCGTTTCAGTTACACCATTGAATTATTGTCGAACACTGAACGTACCGACGATGAGTGGAGCATCCAAAATAAATGATGTAGATTGATGTTTAGGGCGATGCGGCGTGAAAGTTCCTAAATAGTAGAACTATACCAGCCAATGTAACAGTGTACCGACGTACGCATTCATGCGCACAATATCTCGGAACCCCAACTGACCCGGGCATATACTATACAGGGTACGGAAAGGTCACTAACAGATTAGCTTTCAGGGCACAAACATGTGGTTTCAAGCGTGCACAACCGTGGTAGCCTATGAGGTGTACCCACGTCATTGCGCAATCAGTAGTTTCTGTGGCCAATCCACGCCTGTCAGGGCAAAGAGGGAGTGGCCAGCTGGCGCCGATGCTTTTCAGAAGCTAGACTCACTCATTGTCCATTAGCAGCTACATTGGACGCTGTACCCGCCAAACCTACCGGCCATATCATATGCCGCCATTTGTAGCAGACGCCACTTTACTTCCATGGCCGCTCTAAAGGATCTCTTGTCGCGCCTTGGCGCTCCTCCCAGCGACGTCTACATATTTGTAGAGGTTTCTCTCCTTCCTGCTCTGCAGCCATACCTGCATCCGTTCGTCGGGCGCAATGGGAATGATATGAAGAGGCTGTCTATCGGCCTTCTCTATTCCGCAGACGGCGCGCATCGCTTCAGGCCCATTGTAGTGAGCACCGATCGGGAGCCACTGAGGCTGGGCCACGATGTCAGCGGCGACCAGTGGGCATATATCCGCCGTACTCGGTCCGGCCGCATAACCCCCCAGGTAATGGCGAAATGTACTAGAGATGACACGCAAAAATGTCTCCTATATATGGACTCAAGACGTTGGTGCTCAATATATGTCTCTGTGATACTCTATGTTGTTACGTGCAGCTTTTCACGCAGTTCTTGCTAGGCCTCAACGCTGCGAAATTTGCAGAGGACCGTGACATCGTCGTCCTTGTGTCCTCGCGTAGGCACAAGCTCACTTGGGGAGAGGGCAAGCGAGAGCCGAGTGGGCCCTTCATGGTGCACCACCTAACCCATACCCGCATTGTGCAGCTTCATGATACTGTACCAGACGTGGGGAACCCCGTCGTGCAGGGCATTGTCACGTTCTTCAGGTCCGAATTCCGCACAATGTGGGTGGACCACCAGACTCGCTTCATGAGGCGCGTGCCTCCAGCTTGGGTGTGGACCAGCAACTCTCCATCGGGCGCGAACACGTTGCAGTGGACATACCATGCACTGTGGGGGGGTGGCGACATCTCACATTCAGCTCGCGTTTTGGCGCACTGGGTGCGTCCCGGACGAGTGGCTGCCTCGGCTTCACGCGATCAACCGCGACCTGCATGTCGAGGTTGTGGAGCAGCTCGTCGCTAGCCTCACGGGCCTGCAGAGGAGGCTGGACCAGTTGGACATCCCCGACTGCGTGATGGAAGCATTGGACTACGCAACTTGGGATGACACCATGGACGAGGATACGGCCGAACGTGTTCCTGAGCCGGTCATCCGTCGGATTGATGATTCAAGCAGTGTCGGCCGCGTCAAATGGGACGACAGGACTCGCCGCCGGTTCATGCGTATGGCATCTGATGCGTACACAAGGCTTGCTAGCGCGACGGGAGTAGCTCCGAGTGTCGTCGTCACGCTTAAGCGCTTGGGGAACCCGGACCTCGTTGACCGACTGCTGCGCACACCAGAGAAGAAGGTTAGGAGGCATTCATACGCGCCTTCCTCGTCCATGTCTTCCACGGCCAGCGAGGAGATATGCTTCAACTCCCCAACGGCATCCCTGTCTAGCGTGCATGGGGATATTGAGTATGGGATGTAGTAACTGATGGTTGTATTGATCTCAATAACCGTTGTATTTGTCGAATAATACGCACATCGTCAATCATTGTGTACGTAACGAGATTGTTCACGTTGGAGATATAGGGATTTCCACGCTCAATCCGAGAGCGAGTATGATGTTCACCTCCCCGATATGGCACAATCTGAAGAAAGCGCGAACTAATTTTGCAGTTTGTGCTCGGTACACCCAGTTGACCATGAAAGCGTGCCAACACTCCACAAACCACTCCACACCGCTTCCAATCGTCCCAGCAGCCCGTTCCTCGATTCCCGTAGGACGGACACTTACAAAACCCTAACGTCCGCCTAATGTTACTGATTTTAGTTGGTAGTGGCATGATGAACGCAACGCGTTGTAAAGCGGCGCAACACCCGGGGTTATTTCATACGGTCTAAGCCCACTATAGCCTACGCCATAATGCAGGTGCAGGGTGCCATAATGTCACAACGAGGTGAGACCCTTAGCGCGGCCACGATTCTGATGTCTCTGGACCCATTCCTGGGTAGTGGAAGGCGCAGTCCTAGACAGCACAGGGCGCGCGCGATTTCAGAAGCCCGTCCGTCTCTTGCAATAACACCCGATGCACCCACACCGTTCATGTACCTGAGGCTCATATACGCCACGTATCCGGACGAGTCGGAGTCGAGCATTACACGTGCCAAAGGTCGACGGTTTATGACGTCAATAGCGGATTACAGACTCCTAAATCACAGCGCAACAAGCCTCGAGGATGTCATACTGCCGGAGTTACCGACATTTGACTACAGAGTCGTTCTAATGGCCGAGGCAAGGGCGATGGGATATGAGGTGAGGATCGTTGGCGTGCCGACTGGGTGTGTTTTCGATGGCCATTGAAAGGTGTGGGATGTTTATCTGGTGTGCAGGAGGAGAGACATCGGTCCGATGGGTCCAGGATTTCGGCACCTCACTCAAGAGACATATGCACGGGAGGTGGCACCTCATCCATTGTAAGCCGTATATGTTGTTCCGTTGATGCCCTTACAAAGGACGGTGTGTGTTGTGGTGCCTGCATATCCTACGCTAAACCCAGATGAAGCATGTTTCAGGTGCACAGGCCCAAGGAGTGGAAGGACATGGACGCAAGAGTGCGCATCGGGGATCTCAGTCGTGCTCTGGGGATGATACCTTGGTGGTCCAAGGTATCTACTAAGCCCATGCAAGAAGAGTCCATGACAAGCACCTCATCCAAGACTATTGATTGTGCCTACGTTCGCCTAGTAAAGTATAACGCCAACCGGTAGACAGGGCCTTTTGACTTATCGGCGCGTGGGCATAGGTTGTTACGGAACGTGTGAAAATGAACGAGGGATGAAAAGACTAAGGGAAAGTTGGGTACAAGTACAAACCCTAGAAAGCTGTACCCCATATGTGCTACCCCACTATAGCCTACAGCAGCTAAGTCATATAAATCTGACACACCCCCATAGGCAAAGTGGGGGAGGACAAGGGGTCACAAGACCAGTCAAGCAAAGCAAAGCAAGCTCAGGGTGGATCACAACGTCACCACACATTCCGAGCACAAGTTCAAGGCCACAAGGCCAGTTCACATGCAGGATTACATATATATATAAGGCTAAACAAGCAAGAGCAGGTGTATATATATATGTAACAGTACAAACAAGGTCAAGGGGTGAGCAAGTGAGGCAAGGTAGGCACAAGACCCAGCTGAGTACAGAAGCGCTGATGATCACAAGGCGCAAGTGCCTTGGTGAAGATATCAGCAGTGTTGGCCTGAGAGGCCACGTACGCAAGGCGTAGCTGACCACGCTGCTGTAGCTCACGAGCAAGGAAGTAGCGAAGAGCAATGTGCTTCGTTCTGTGCTCCAGTCTCTGCTCCCGACACAAGGCCAGCATGGCCTTGTTGTCTACGTACAGCACTGGAGGAGAACGAGGCGGCTCTCCGACGTCAGTCAGCAGGTAGGTGAGCCAGCGAAGCTCCTGTGCAGCCATGGCCCCTGCGTAGATCTCAGCCTCACAACTGGAGCCGAGAACAGAAGACGAGTGGGTAGCCCGCCACGAGACAGAGCCGGAACCAAGGCTGAAGGTATAACCCTGTGACGACCGCTGCGTAGCCTGGTCGTCAGCCCAAGAAGCGTCTGCGTGCCCAGTGAGGACCACTGGACTCTGCCCTCCAAGCACAAGCCCCATGCCCGACGTACTGCACAAGTAGCGCAACACCCTCTTCGCTGCAGCCATGTGCTCCGGTCTGTGTCTCCCAGGAGCAACATAGCGTGCGAGAATGCTAAGAGGGTATGCAAGGTCAGGTCGAGTGCAGGTCATCAGGTACATGAAGCAGCCAACAAGCTCTGGGTACGGGCCACTCGACTCTACGGACTCATCCGAAGGCAGAGCTGAGAGCGAGTGGCGAGTAGGCAGAGGAGTGGCCTGAGGCGAGGAGTACGTGAAGCCGAAGCGCTGAAGGACCTGCTGCACCATGTGTGACTGAGTCAGGGTAATGGTGCGCTGTGCTCTGTCCCGGGTGATCTGCAAGCCAAGGTAGCTGCGCAGTTCACCCAGGTCTGTGCACGTGTGTCTCTTCTGCAGCTCGGACTTCACGTGGGCGAGTCCAGCAGTGTCAGCTGTGGCAAAGACCAAGTCGTCGACGTACACGAGGATGTAGAACGGCTGCAAAGAAGTGTCGGTGCGCAGAAACAGCGACGGGTCGGCAGTAGAGGGAGCAAACCCAAGAGCCGCAAGTGTAGTCCTCAGTGTGTCGTGCCACTCACGCGGTGCCTGGCGGAGACCGTAGACTGGCCGCCGGAGGCTCCACTGGGTGCCAGGAGGAAAGGACCCAGTGAAGCCAGGTGGGCGACGCAGCTAGATCTCCTCGTGCAGGCTGCCCTGCAAGAAAGCAGTGCTGAAGTCAAGAGAGTGTAGCTCGTAGTCACGGTGAGCAGCTATGTGCAGCAGTACCCGAAGAGTGGTCATCTTCGGGGTGGGAGAGAATGTCTGAAAGTAGTCAACTCCCTGCCGCTGACTGAAGCCACGAGCCACGTAACGCGCCTTGAAGACAGGCTGAGAACCCGGCGGCCGCTTCACCCTGAAAATCCACATGCCACTGACGATGTTCGCCCCAGGCGGGGGAACCTCGTCAACGTAGGTGCCTGTGGACTTCCAGGAAGCCATCTCTGCGTCCATAGCTGCCTGCCACTGAGAGGAGTAGGGACCCTCTATCGCCTCCGCGTAAGAGCGCGGAGTCGGGATGTCAAGTGCATCCGGGTCTCCCTCAGGGGTAAGCAGTACGGACACGAGATGAGGTGAAGCAGCAGCCAAACACTGGAACTCCTCCTGTCTGTCCTCAAGGACGTCCGTGCCAAGGGCACACTCACCCCCGACGGACGGAGGACAGACAGACCCAGACGCAGCAACAAGACTAGCAGCGTAGTCTAGACGACAGCGAGCAGCAAAGTCGACGAGCTCAGCAACTAGGGCAGACGCAGCAGTGGAATCAAAGGAAGGGTCAGTGACAACAGTAGCAAGGAGACGCGTGACAGTCGGACTGGCAGTACGAAGGGAGTCCGACACCGGGTCAGCAAGAGCAGGAAGAGAGGACTCAGGAGGAGAAGGCAAAGGGGCACGCAGAGGAGCAGTGGACGGACGGAGAGACATCCGGTGCATGCCGGGCACAGGGGGAGGACGCTGACGCGAACCACGACCACTAGCGCGAGCAGCACGGACAGGCGACGCAGGACGAGACGCAGGCTCACGACGCTCAGCAAGACCTCCAGTAGGACCAGTGTAGGGAGAAGGAGCAGGCAGTGGGGAGGCCGGCTGTAACTGTAACGTGATGGGACAGGCTGTGGACACTCTAAGGGAGGAGGAGGACCAGTAGAAGGCGGGAGACCAAGAACCTGCTCAAGAAGCGGAACGAAGTACGGCCGAGGCCGCGCAGCGACTGCAGACACAGCAGTGACAGCACCAGTACCCCCAGTGGTAGCACCAGCGCCAGCAGCACCTCCATCTCCAGTACCCCCAGCAGCTCCAGTAGCTCCAGGACCTCCAGCAGCACCAATAGCACCCCCAGCAGGACCGCCTCCAGTACCGCCAGCAGTACCCTCAGCGCCAACACCCTCAGAAGCTCCAGCTCCAGTCGGACCACGAGAAGACGCAGTGGCTCCAGCTCCAGTAGTACCCGCAGGCCCAGCAGCTCCACTACTCCCAGTACGAGCACCTCCGGGACCCGTGGCACCAGCACCCTCAGCAGCCGAAGAACCTCCAGCTCCAGCAGCACGCCTCCAGCGCCGGGCAAACCACTCACGCACCTCCTGTCGAGAGAGTGGCTCCCGTCGAGACGGAGCACCCAGAGAACCTCCAGGCCCAGCACCGCCAGACGCCACACGAGCAGGCCCAGCTCCCTCAGGCTCCGCACCCCCAGGCTCAGCACCTCCAGGCGTAGCACCCCCAGGCTCAGCACCCCCAGTCGTAGCACCCCCAGGCTCAGCACCCCCAGACTCAGCACCCCCAGGCTCAGCACCCCCAGTCGTAGCACCCTCAGGCTCAGCACCCCCAGGCGTAGCACCCACACGCTCAGCACCCCCAGAGTCAGCACCCCCAGGCTCAGCACCCCCAGCAGCACCAGAGTCACCAGCGACCTTCACAGGCTCGACTGCGTCTACCTGGGACACACCCGAAGGGGCAGGACCCTGAGGGGGAAGGGGGTCTACCGGGGGGGGACCTGGCACAAAGAAGAGCGGTGGCGGGGGGAGGGACGGAGTGCGGTAGGGGAAGAGACGGTAGTAGGGGACCGACTCGTCAAACGTGACGTCCTGGGAGGACAGAACACGGCGAGAGGTGGGGTGGTAGAACTGCCACCCTGGCGCGTCAGGGGGGAAGCCAAGGAAGACGCAGGGAGCAGCACGAGGGGACAGCTTGTCCGCAGACAAGTCGCGGACAAACGCCCGAGATCCCCAGACACGGAACGCAGACGCATCGCCAACCTTCCCCGTCCACAGCAAAGCTGGGGAGGTCTCCGGCATGGAGACCCTGGGCTGAAGGTTGATCTGATGCGCCGCGTACCGAACCGCAAACGGCCACAGAAAATGGGGGGCAGCCGCATGCATCATGGACGTACGGGCGACGTCCATGACCATGCCAATGCGGCGCTCAGCAATCCCATTTTGCTGTGGAGAGTCCGGAAGCATGAAGGTCTGGCGGATGCCTCGTGCACGACAGTAGGCTCGCAGAAGGCCAGAGGAGAACTCTCCGCCTCTGTCAGAGTGCAGACGCAGAACAGGAAAGTCCGAGCCGAAACTCTCTCTGAGCTGGAGACGAGCTGCGCGGATCCAGTCGATCAACACCTCAGTGACATCACCCTTGCTGCGCAAGGGGAAGACTGTGGTGTAACGCGAGTAGTCGTCAACCACCAGCAGGAAGTAGCGCTCGTGACCTTGTCCACGGACGCGGGCCGGGCCCCACACGTCCATGTGAAGCGTATGCAGCGGGGCCTCTGTCGGAGGAAACTGGGAGGAGTGAGGGGCAGCACGCTGCCGCCCCTCGACACAGGGGACGCAGGTAGGGGCAGGCCCCGGAGGAAGGGGAGGGAGGGACCGGGGAAGGAGCAGGGGGCAGACTCAGGACCAGACCTGGACGCTGCAGCAAACACCTGACCCGACGCAGCTGCCTGACCAGACGCAGTGACTGGAGGAGACTCAGTGGTCAGTGTGTACAGGCTCGACCCCGGCCGACGTGTAAACGTGGCCAAGTGTCGGCCCGTCCGAGCGTCCGTGCAGTGGGTCACACGCTGGCTCGCAGGAGTGAACTGGTGAACCCCCGCATCCTGTAGGTCAGCACCACTCACCAAGTTCGTAGAGAACGAGGGGAGGTAAAGACCAGACAGGGTGCCAGAGGGGGCCGCCGGACACGGGAGGACAGTGGAGAAGTGAGCAAGGACAGGACCCCCAGAGGGGTCTGCCAGAGAGACTGCAACTGGCCGACCAAGCGGCGTGAGTGTGGTGCGGTCTCGAAAGAAGGTTATGTTTATGCAGCGCAGCCGTTTCGTATTCCACTATTCCGCCTGGTTGTGGTTATGTTTATGTCGGCGGTACCCTAGATTTCGCCACAGCCCAACAATATCGGTTTTATGCGTTTTGGTAAGATTCTGTACGTTTTAGAGCCGTTAATTTACGTTCTAGCACCCTTCCTCTAGGGTTTGAGCGTTCTGAAGGCTTACCTTAGTTGTAGAATTCCCTTTCGTCTCCCTTGTTCCTAAGAATTCACCCTCCCTTTCGTCCTCCATAAATCTTTCGCGTTCGGCCAACTGCTGCCAGCGCAACCGCAATCCCATCGCGCCTGCCTGCTTACGTGCTAGTTGTAGCGCCGCGCTCTCTCGACGCGGCAGCGAGAATCGGTCGGAAGTGTCGAGGGAAACCGCAAAGTATCTTTCCTTGGTTCTGTGCTGTGCGGTTGTGCCTTTCGTCTCCCTTGCAACACGTAGTTCCCTCGGCCTGATATCCGCTCACCACTGGTCGTAAGGGATATGTGATTTGCTGCGCGGATGCCGGTAATCCCCGTTATGAACCGTAGCGACTCTTGAGAGACGCTTCGAATCGCTCTCGTGCAGTCGACAGCGAGAAGCAGCGAGAAGGGGCATAGGGGCAGAGTAAAGGTCGAGTGCTATACGGATTCCTTTCGCTCCGCCGCTAAACAGCTCCGAATAAGAAAACCTCGTTGCAAGTGCTCTCCGGGATTCCACTCGTTAAGTTAGCATCAAGACATCCGACGCGGTAGAGCAATCGACGGCGAGAAGCAGCGAGGGGAGGAATCCTTGCAATCTCGACGCTCCGAGTGACACTAGAAGGTAATATAAGCAGCCTCCCCCCCCGTGATGATACACGCAACCCCTCCGCTCTCTCCCTTCGTGCCCTATTAGTTAGGCGCTTCGCTCTTCGCAGCTGTTCACAGCTCTTTATTCCTTCCAGCTTCACGGTTCTTATTATCAGTGACTCATATTCTCCTAATACGACTTCAAAGCTCACTAGGTGTCTCATATTCGAGTGACATTCAATCCGAACTCACGCAAGCCTAATCATCCTGACCTTCAAGCCCGGTTGCCTTTCCAGTCGACTCAAGCCCGCTCCGTGAAACCCCTGACATATCAAATCTTATCACAGCAAACCAACCCCGTCAAGCCATGGCTTCGTCGTTTCCGCGACGCGTCAGAATGTCCGTTCCGTCGACCACGTGGTTCTCGTCCTCCTCCCACGTGGTCGTCGCTGCGCTTCTCTGCGTCATTGCGGCGCGTGCTGCCGCTGCAGGTAAGGCCAATATTTCTTCAGGTTTTTCTTGTTCGTTTCGTTGCCGTGTTCCGTTTCTTGTTTGCTGGTTTGTTTTTTAATCAGGGATTTACTTCACTTCGGTTTTTTCGCCTGACTTCCTTTCATTCACTTCGATCTTACATTTTCGTGTATCTTTCGTTCTCTTGTTCCCCCCTCCCCCCCCTCTCCCCCGTCTCCCCCATCTCTCTCTTCCCGCCCCCCTCCTCCCCCACTCCTCCCTCTCTCTCCCCCACCACCCCCCCTTTCCCCTCCGGCTTTCCTGCGTTCCGCTCTCAAACCATGTTCTTTTTGCAGAGTGTCTGGTTGGTTCCGGATTCTACGGAGTTGATTGCACCGCGTGCCCTGGTAAGGACGACGCCATGCCATGCCATGCCGTGCCATGCCATGCCATGCCATGCCGTGCCATGCCATGCCATGCCATGCCATGCCGTGCCATGCCATGCCATGCCATGCCATGCCGTGCCATGCCATGCCCTGGTAAGGACGATGCCATGCCATGCCATGCCATGCCATGCCCTGACACGGACGTCCGTATGCCGTGCCTTGCCGTGCCATGCCATGCCGTGCCGTGCAGAGTAGGAGCTCGGCAGGTGTCGTTATGACCTGTTAGTAATCTGATATGCCGTGCTGTTGCTATTAGGAAGCTGTTACGCTTCGTGAAAGCCCTTAGGCTTTACGATTACGCCCTTTTGATTTACTCTCCGCCCCATCTCGATTTATTCCACCATACCCCGCTTCTGATGGAATTGCAGTGTGTCAGAACCTGGGCTCCTGCTGCGACAGGCCCGAGGGTGACGGCAAGTGCGCCTGCCCTCCCACCGCCACGCCACGCCCTCACGACTCCCCTGCTTACCACCTCTCCCCTCCTCCCTCCCCCTCCTCCCCACTCCCCCTTGCCTCCGGATTGCAGTGTGTCAGAATCTCGGCACCTGCAAGGACGGGCCTGAGGGCGACGGCACGTGCGCCTGCCCGCCCACCACCATGTGGCGCCCTCACGATTCCTCTACTTACCACCTCTCCCCACTCTCGTCTCCATCCCCCCGACCCTCCCTTGCCCCCGGGACTCCAGTGTGTCAGAACCTTGGCACGTGCAAAGACGGGCCCGAGGGTGACGGCACGTGCGCCTGCCCTCCCACCACCACGGGGCCTCTCTGCGAGCTCTGCGCGCCCAACTACGACCCTGACACCAAGTGCACCACCAGTGAGGCTCAATAGGCCCTGCGCTATGCCTGCCCCCTGCCCCCTGCATGCACTTCTACTCTTTTCCCCTGCGCCTGCCCGCCCACCACCACGGGGCCTCTCTGCGAGCTCTGCGCGCCCAACTACGACCCTGACACCAAGTGCGCCACCAGTGAGGCTCAATAGGCCCTGCGCTATGCCTGCCCCCTGCCCCCTTTTCCCCTGCGCCTGCCCGCCCACCACCACGGGGCCTCTCTGCGAGCTCTGCGCGCCCAACTACGACCCTGACACCAAGTGCACCACCAGTGAGGCTCCTAATCTACGAGCCCTTGTGTTTGGGCTCAAGGTTCTCAAGAGTGCTAGCTCCGATGTGACTTTTGAGGCAAGTCAAAGGTCACCTCGAATCCTCTCTGCGAGCTCTGCGCGCCCAACTATGACCCCGACACCCAGTGCACCACCAGTGAGGGCTGTTGCAGTGACCAGTCGACTGCACCACCAGCAAGGGCTTGGACCAATGTGGCTTTTGAGTCGACTCAAAGGTCACATTGAACCCTCTCTGCAAGCTCTGTGCCCCCACTAGCTTCTGACTTGACTACGAGGAGGCATTTTGCGCGTGTGTCCTACTGCAGTAGCTTTTCGTTGACCCCGTCACCCAGTGCACCACGAGTGCACTTCGGAAACGAGTCCTTTTGTGCCCAACTCCACGTGCCTCTTGGACACAAAGTGCTGCTCCTGGCCTCCCCTGTTGCTGCTGCCACTTCTGTTGAAGCTGCCTCCTCTGACGCTGCGCTGCTGCTTCTTCTGTTGCTGCTGTCTCTGCTTAAACTGCTTCCTGCCTTTCACCCCAAGGCACTGTTTTTTTTTTCCCCCTGCTGCTACTCTGCTCTTCTGTCTTTCCCTCGCTCCAGTCCTGGACGCCTGTGCATCGTACATCAATGACACGGCTGCAGAGGACAGCGCGTTCGCCAAGTGGTGCAAGATGCGACCCAATGGGGAGTGCATTACTGATTTCGACGCCGTGCCGACCCGCTCGACCTGCGGGTGCCAGGCGGGATTCACCCTTGACGAGGCGACCCAAACATGTCTTGGTGAGTGTCCATTTTCTGTGCTTATATGTGGTTGATTTGTTTAGGATAATTTGTGTTCGGAAATGGCTAGCGTTGATCTGTGCTTATTAAGTATTGTGTTTGTTAATGATGCAGATGTTAACGAGTGCAAGATGAGGCCTTGCGTGGATGTGAAGTACTCTGTTTGCATCAATCTGGTGGGGACATACAACTGCACGTGCGCAAAAGGTTATGTGGCTACATTTGTTGATTCTCTTAACATCGTTCGCACATGTGAGAAGCCAGTTCCTCCTGTGACGACCAAGGTCATGTTTCCTAAGCCATGAATGGAAATTAGTGGCACGGTAGTTGTATTGTGAATCATAGTGGGCAATAAGCAGGTGTGGGATGCTTCCATTGTTATGGGATTTCTTGAAAGAGTTGCAATTTGTCTGGATAGTGTAACATCAAGACCAGCGGATGCCTTGTCCAGGTGGATGGCTGAATTCAGTGGGATTGACGTCAGATGATGCTGGGACCACTTCCGATTGGGGTTGACGTGGCGAAGCGAACAAGGGTGTTAACGAAATTCTAGTCGTAAACAAGTCTCAAGCCAAGAAGTTCTCGCAAGGCTCGTTCCAATTTACGTTTAGAGTTTGGATTGTCGTACAGGTTTGGAGCACCTGGACTCGTCGCATACCACAAACACAGCTTTGCTCCAAGCCACAGAATCATATCGGGCAAGTTCAGACGGCCGGGATTCTTTCAGGCAATATTTGGACCCCAATTACTTGACCTCCATGTACACTACGCTTACTGGATGTTTAGCGAACTTTTACCATTTTATGGCAGGAAACCCCAGTTTTTACGGTCAGCTATATTTTTCCTGTGATGCACCTGAGCTGACCGCCCCCTAGCGTGCATGCTTCCATGCCCCCCCCCCCCCCCCCCCCCCCCCCCCCCCCCCACCTAACCTCCACCAGTCCATCCCACACCACACCACCACCACATCACCCGACGAAACGCAAGTCTCCCACCTGACCGACTTTGCGGTTTGCTTTGCAGCTGCATGCACTGTACTCTGTTATTTCGGCCGCCACGCCACGCCACACCCTTGCGTTGCATAAAATGTGCAATTCCACAGCGAATGTATCTTTCCCTCATTCCTCCGCCGACCGACCGCGCCGCCCGCCAGCCTCTTGCTTCTTGGCTCGGCTGGTCCAGCCTGGTCCCTCCTCTAATACCTACAGAGCTGGTTCGTAAAATTCGTTTCACGAGCCCCATACCAGTCTCTGCTTTCCTACTCTTTGATTTATGATAAGTGACAGCCCAGACAGCCTGTGATTCAAGATAAGTGACAGCCATTCTTTGTAGCTGTCAGAAGGGGTCGTCTTTGATTGAAGTCCGCCGCGTTTGTGCTCTTGCCGCCTTCTGTGTCACGAAGCGCAGTGACGGAAGCCATATAAACGTTCGTAGCCGGACTTCTGATACCGTTCTTTGTAGACTCTGCCATATCTAGCCTTTCTTTCGAAGGTCGTTCGCAGGTCTTTTCGAGAACGCTGCTTTTGAGTCGACTCAAAAGCAAGGCACGCTATGGAGGACGCGTGCAGACCGTCGATGCTACATCCGTGTCCGAGCCAGCCGACCAGCGGCTCTTTCTCCCCCTCCACCTTCGCAGCCGCGCTCGCCGTCTGCATAATCCTCGTTTTCACCATCGCCGTCGCCGTCTGCGTGATCCGACGGCTGAAATGGTTCGAGATTAATCTCGACAGCAGCCCTGCGACGGAGCGCGCGCACCCACGGGTGATCTGGGTGCGACATCTGGACCAGAAGCCCGCGATTCCCGGGCTCGACCGCGCCACGATTCGCTCGTTCCCCGTGTTCACGTATTGCGGTTCGGACGCTTTGGACGGTCCAGGGAGTGATGGGCTTCTTATGGCGGAAGACAGCCGTTTTGGTAACCCCGCACCTTGCGCCGAGAATTGCGGAGAAAATTTCCCTGAAAATCACGGCAATTCTCACGCGAGCGACCACGTGGCGATTATCGTCGCCAGCGATTCCGCAAATCTTCGCGAAGACGATGCAGTCGCGCCGCTGAGTGCGTCAAGCAACGCGTCAACGATTGGCCCAAGTCCGTGCGACAGCCTTCCGCGGGGGCCTGGGCGCGCGGAGAGGCTCACGCGGGAGTGCGCGGTGTGCCTGGGCGAGTACGCGGCGGGCGAGCGCATCAAGGTGGTGCCGGCGTGCGCACACGGCTTCCACGCCGACTGCATCGACCTCTGGCTCGCCGCCAAAACCACCTGCCCCATCTGCCGCCGAGACCTCCGCAGCCCCGCTGCAGCCCCCGCCACCCCCACCGTCCCCACCGTACTTACTCAAGGGAACGAATCCTAAGGCCCTGTTAGCCTCAACGCCCTCGTCATCCCCTCGGCTCCGAAACCGGAGCCTGCCCCATCTGCCGCCGCGACCTCCGCAGCCCCGCTGCAGCCCCCGCCCAAGACAACGACGCGCGGGCGGACAACGACGCGCAAGCCGCCTCCATTACTCCCACCCACCATCCCCACCAGTCCCACTTGAGAAAACGACTCCTAAGGCCCTCTTGAGGCGCCTCAACACTCCCCGAATTCTTAAAATATTTTCAGAAATTTCCGAATCTTCACTATTCTTAGAGGTGACTCAAGAGGGCAACTCCGAAGGCCCGCCGTCACCCCCTCTCTGCGTGTTCACCTGTCCCTCATCTGCCGCCGAGACCTCCGCTGCCCCGCCAGAGCCGCAAATCGAAAGCCATTCATAATCGCCCCATCATTCCCCCCACCCCGTCTCCCCATCGCCCCCAATGCCCCCCATCATCCCGCTAAAATTTGAATGCCGTGCCCGCCGCTTGGTTCCCCCGCCCAAACGCCGCCACTACCCGCTTCAACTGGAAGTGACTGGAGGTTCGACTCAAAAGAGTTTTTTTGCGCCAGACGCCGCTACTACCCGCATTCTCCGCACCCCCTCTCCCTCCGTTGCAATGGGGGCCGTGGGGACGCGTTAGACGCGTGGGGAAGCAGCGCAGCGGAGGGGATGGGGGGGCGCGGGGTGGAGGAAGCGGAGTAACGCCAGCAGCAGCAGTGGACGAATTGGGAGTCGCTGTTAGAGGCAGCAATGCCGTTAGACGAGAGTGGAACCAGCAACGTTTTTGGATTTCTAGTCGACTCAAACTGAGTCGACTCAGAAGCAGCAGCAGCAGCAGCAGCAGCAGCAGCAGCAGCAGCAGACGAATTAGGGTTTACACGGGTGCAGCTGCATGCACGCGGAAACAGCAGAGCAGAGATAATTGGAGCGGTCAGGGTGAGGCTGAACAGTGCCAGCAGCAACAGCAGCGAACGAATTGGGAGTCGCAGGAGTGCAGCTGCAAGCACGCGGAACCAGCGGAGCGGAGATCACAGGTGGGGGAGGGGGGATTGGGGGGGGGGCTTAACAGTGCCAGCAGCAGCCGCGGACGAATTGGGGGTCGCAGAAGTGAAACTAGGAGCACGCGGAAACAGCAGAGCGGAGCTGATGGGAGAGGGGACAGGATAGCGGAACGAATGTTGGTTGGGGGGGGGGGGGGGGGGTGGGGGGGGAAGACACAATGGAGGCGAAACCTCCCTAAAGCTGACTTTTCTGGCAGCGGAATGCTCACAATAAGTGGATTGACTTTAGAAAAGGAGAATGGATGGTGGAAGGGGTATGAATGGTGGAGGGAGCATGGATGACAGGGGGGCATGGATGGTGGAGGGAGCATGGATGGAGGGAGTACGGATGGTGGAGAGTGTGAGGTCTATGTATGGTGGAGCTGCAGAGAGTAGCAGCATTCCAGGAAGGACCATTGGACTGAGAGCAGCGGAGGTAGCATAGCATATGGAAAAATGGTACAATTTTCCGTTTTCCATGTAGTACGTAGATGTAGATAATACTACGGAACATAGAACCGAAGGGTTATGATGACTGGTTTTCGAGGCATAACCTCAGCCCCATAGCTGGCTAGAGTTTTACAGACTCCTGAAGTCCCGGGACAATTTTGGTACTCAGATCAGAAGGGTTTGGCCATTCAGGCCATGGGTTGGATTAACTACAGTTGTAGCTGATTTGTTCCTCGTCATAATCGTATGAACTACCAATCAGACTGTTAAAGCGATAAGGGCCAAGTGTTTAGCAGGAGATCCTGCTACCAAGGATAAATGTTTGGGTGTGGGGCCTTCCCAGTGCGCGTACAGTACCAAACCACTTGTGAATTGTGCCCAACCTGAATCAGCGACTAAGGTGGTTCACGGTTAAAGCCGTGGCCCAACTATCAGCTTCAACTTCGAAGTATTATAGCTTGGAACTTGGTTGTCCCAGGCAGTTCTGTGGCGAGAAGTTTGTCTTTCCGAGATTCCATTTTTTTCATCCAATAAGGGTCTCGTTACGCACACTCCATGTTTGTCCTGATACTGTTCCTAAGAAGTTGCACCCCGCATCACAGAACAGTTGAAGAGTTTCCAAAGCGGCAGCGAGTTTTTGCTACCAAACCTGTCATGACGGAGCTACCGACCAGACAGTGGGGGATGAAAAACACTTCGAGCGGTTTTTTTTCGGTGGGAGACGGTGAAACTGGATGTAATGCACGTCACCGTTTTGAACCGCTACTCGCCTATCTGTAAATCAACTCGTATGGCGCTCCTGTGCGAATATTGCGAATTACTGGGCTTCGGTTCAGTCCGGTCTCGTTGTCAGGTGGTTCGCTCTTCGCCGCTTTGGAACGCAATACCACCGTACTGAACCCAAGGAACGGATGGGTTGAACACCAGCATGCCTCTGACATACATCAAAGGCGGGTCGGCCATCGGTAGTATCAATTTGAACAGTCATGGCGGCTCGCACAATGCAAGTACTACCTTACCGACCTCTTCAGCCTCTGCAAGAAGCGGTCCTACTGTCACGGCGGTTTTTGCGCGATCCTTGGTGTCTTTACTTCCCTCGATCTCCTCGCCGCTGTCACTAGCTCATCGCAGCAGGCTGAGTCCTGGAAATGTCCGTTCTCGCAGACCGTCGCAGCAAACGACGTTCGTCGCACAGGCGCAGCCAGTGGAGTCTGTTTCTTACTTATTTTAATCTTCGCATTCGCACGTAGACGACCAACGGTTGAACTTCGGGAGGTATGATCGAGGTGACTTTTGAGTCGACTCAAAAGTCAACTTCGGGAGGTATGATCGATACTACTGTACGCGTTTAGTGCTGTCCTCGAAAGCACCGCTTGCATCGAGTCCGACTGAATTCCTATCGCCTACCAGACCACAGTGTCTCGCTGGCCAGCGGCCTCGAACGAAAGCCGGGTCGTTGATTTCGAGAACCATTCGCCGCGAGCAATGTGTCCCTTTGTTCTCGAATCTCACACATTCTTCGCACGCGACGAAGGAATCTAAACCAAGCGCGGTCTTCGTGTCATTTCAGTGCTCCGCGAAGACGTCAGTTTTCTGGTTACCAGATTGGATCACATTCGTCACCTCGAACGCATCAGCTCCCCGTTAAGACGTCGTTCACCTCAAGGCGCAAATCAAAGAGTCTTCCTGTCAGGATGCGAGCAGGAACAGCGGCCTCTCGGTGGGGTCAGGAGCTTCTGCCGTGCCGCCGTTCTTCTTTGCGCGGCTCGTCGACACGGAGGAGCAGCAGAGCTGCTCTGCTGTGCCGCCGTTCAGCCAGCAGCTCTGCTGCTCCACCGTGTCGACGAGCCGCGCTTTTCTGGCTCAGCGCTTCTGCTGCAAAACAGACGTGTAGAATTATAATGATTTCATAAGAGAGCGGGATTGCGTTGCTTTGAATGTAGAAGGAAGTTAGCCTGCGACTTCCTGCTTCTATTACCCCTCACCCTTTGTTCCGTTGGAAGAGGAATCAGGGGACTCAAGGGTTGTGCAGTTGGTTCCGTCAGTCTCCGTTTCCTGTAGCCTGCTGACACGTGGCAGTCCGCTGTCCTTATCCGCTGAGCGAGCATGGCTGTTGACGTGGCATCCATGTCGGTGGAGGAGCTGGAGGCTGTGTGGCTGAGGCGAGCTGGCATGAGGAGCGACCTGAGTGTGACTATACCGGGGATGACTGCACCAGGAGTGACTGTACCCGGATTCTCTTTCAACGTTCACAAGTACCCGTTATACGCACGCACGTGAGTACTTATAACCCCATGATCGCACCTTTTGAGTCAACTCATTCAGTGTCTTTCAACATTCACAAGTACCTGCTATACGCACGCACGTGAGTGTTTCTAACCCTACCTTGTTCGAGTGTTTGTTCTGACCTTTTGCAACTATGACGTGTATATTGCTGATCCTTCCTTTCTTGCTAAACAAGCCACACAGTCTGTGTGTGTGTGTGTGTGTGTGTGTGTGTGGTGTGTGTGTGTGTGTGTGTGTGTGTGTGTTGTGTGTGAGTGATGTGTGTGTGCGTGTGTGTGTGTGTGCGTGTATGCGTGCGTGCATGTATGCGTGCGGTGCGTGCGTGCGTGCTGCTACCGGGCCTCAACTTCGCTTCTCCCTATCCTCTCTCCCCCTTCGCTGATCCCATGTTGCTCATCATCTCTCCTTCCCCATTTTCTCCCCATTTTCTCCCCATTTTCTCCCAATTTTCTCCCCATTTTCTCCCAATTTTTCTCCCAGTTTTCTCCCAATTTTCTCCCCATTTTCTCCAGTGACTTTTTCCAGGAGTCATCCACTGAGGACCCTGATTCTGGTCGCAACCACATCAACATCGTGGGCTTGCCCGGAGGAGAAAGGGCCTTCAAGCAGGTGGGTGGTGGTGGGAAATAGGGCTGAGTAAAAACGAATTAAGCTAGCCAAAACACCCATTCTCCTACTGGAATGATCCAGAAGACGAAGGACGTTTAAGCAGGCTGGTGCTGGTGGTAAATAGTGATAAGAGCGAAAAGCTAGGCAAGTTAAGTAGTGAGGCACGATTTCACTCACTAGTCTCTCCTCGCCTCTTGGGATTTCCCTGAGGAAAGAGGGAGCTCATGCAGGTTCAAGGGCGTATATGCAGGTCCCCTCACCCTCCACACCCATCATCCACACCCTTCACACCCTTGTTTCCTCACTCCACCCCCCTCTTTCCTCCGAGGGTCGCCAGCTTTTGCTACGGGATGGATTTATTGAGTCGAGTCACTCAAAAATAGACTCATAGCACACTTTTGCTGTGGCATGGATTTCAAGATCCATTCCTTCTCACCGCTTGAAACTCCTGCCTGCTCCCTTGTCCCGTCTCACATCTATGCCGTCCCCCATCCCTACGCCCCTCCAAAGGTCGCCAGCTTTTGCTACGGGATGGATTTCAAGATCTCACCACTTGATGCTCCTGCCCTCGCCTATGCTGGTGAGTCAGTGTGAGCGTGGGAGAGTGAGCGTGAGTGACAAAGTGAGTCTGAGTGAGAGAGAGAGTATGAGTTGTGAGATCCTCCCTTCTTCTCTGCGTCCTTCCTCTCTCCTGACCCCCCCTTCTCTAGCTGCGTTCCTGGGAAAGGCATGGGAAATACCGTGTGAACCTGCTGTACTTTTGCCCCTCTCTCACTCTCACTCCCCCCCTTTCTCCCTTCTCTCTTCCCCTTCCCTCCCCCCAGCCGCATTTCTGGGAATGACGGACGACTTGTGGAAGGGCATGGGCAAGTCCTGAGTGAACCTGCTGTCCCTTCATCCCTCCCTCACCCCACTGCCTTCCTCCCTTTCTTCCCCTCCTCCACTCCCCACTCAGCCGTATTCCTTGGAATGACAGACGATTCGAGCAAGGGAATGGGCAAGTACCGCGTGATCCTGCTGTCCTTCTGTCCCTCCCTCACCCCACTCCTTTCCTCCCTTTCTTCTCTGCGTTCTGCCCCCCTACCTCGTCCCCACCCCTCAAGAATGCATCCTTGGAAATGACGACGATCCACGCCAAGGGAATGGGCAAGTACCGCGTGAATCTGCTGTCCCTCTGTTCCTCACTCACCCCTCTCCCTTCCCTACCTCCCTCCTCAACCCAGCCGCGTTCCTGTGAATGACGGACAATTCCCGCAAGGGCATGGGCAAGCACCGTGTGAACCTGCT